TTTTCGTCGCACTGTGATGACGTCAGGTACGCGGTTTCGTCGAGCGCACTTTAGTCAACCGCGGTTTTGTGGTGGAACCGGTTCTTCCCAGGTAGACCAGAACTGAGACTTTAGAATGCAGCCCTGATAAGAAAATATGGGATTTGTAGTCCTAACATAAATAGAAAATTTCATGTTGGGAACCAAAGACGCCTAGCCATAAAGGCTCTATAGCCGAGAGGCAGTATACATAGCAGAGGTGGTATTCTGCAGGTTCTGACCAGTTCTGGAGAACCGGTTGCGGAAATTTTGAGTAATTCGGAGAACCAGTAAATAACATCTATTCTCTGCCTCCTGAGTCCCAGCTGATCGGGAGGAAATGTATCCTTGCCCTGCCACACCCACCAAACCACGCCCACAGAACCGGTAGTAAAAAAAATTGAATCACACCACTGATATGTCGCTATACAGTCTGCAATAATTTGTAGAAGCAAAAATGCAGAATGGTTCATATCAAAAAATATTGTCATATTCTGAAAGCTGGATATTTCAGGCAAATTGTTACTAGTACAGGTACAGTAGAACCTCTGGTCACAAACACTTCTGACTACAACCAAATTGGGGTTTTCTTGTAAGTGCCAAATTTCCTGTTGTTTGTTTACAAACAACAGTGACCCACGTGTGGCTGCTGCATTAATTTTGGTTCCGTTCGGGTCATGACCATATCGGGTAGTGACCAAAGTTATGGAATGAATTATGGTCGTGACCAGAGGTTCTACGGTATGCCTCAACTTGTAACTGGTCACTTGGTGGCCATTCAAAGTTACGATAGTTCTCTCTGGGGCAGTGGTGGGATTCAGCCAGTCCGCACCTATTCGGGAGAACCGGTTGTTAACTTTCTAAGCAGTTCGGAGAACTGGTTGTTGGAAGAAATCTCCTTTTGGTTTTTTCCACTTTTACAAGGCTAATCCTGTAAGGAAGGCAGGAAGGAAACATTCTGGTGTTGTTTCTAGCCTAATCTTTATTGCCCTGCTCACATAATCTGCCTCTCTGGTTAACCCTTATTACATTAGAACAGCTAAAGCAAAGCATCCATCGATGTGAGTGACTTTGAGTTGGCTACGACCACATGGTCACATGACCCCTATGCCCCGCCTACCCCCCTGGTCATTAGGACAGAGAACTAGTTGCT